TATGGTTATGACTTTGACATCAAGTATAACGCTAAGAAAAGCAATGTTATGATTGTTAGAAGTAGAGCAGATAAGCATCTGATAACCCCTGACTTCTCTTTATCTGGCATTGTCCTCAATATTTGCAATGAAATTAAATATTTGGGACACTATATAACTGATGATCGTGACATCTGTAGACAGTATTGTATGATGTATGCACAGGCTAATATTCTGATCAGAAAGTTTGGTATGTGCTCATCCTCTGTGAAGATAGCTCTTTTTAAAGCTTTTTGCACTTCACTTTACACGGCCCATCTGTGGCGAAAATACAAAAAAAGTAGCCTGCAGAAACTTTATGTGGCATACAATGATGGCATGAGGCTACTACTCAGAGTGCCTAGATGGAGCAGTGCTGAGATTCAGTAGTAGACATTTTTTGAACTTTGCTTACAAGCCTGTGAGTACAACAATCCTGCAGAAGAATTCCAAAAGACCTTCAGTTTAATGGGACAGTGATTGCACCCTTGATAGTTTTCCTGAAGGTCTTGAAATAAGTTGAATAAACTGGATTTATTATTATAATGAATAAACTACTGTATACTTATTACATATATTCAGGAACTAAACATTCAGCCGGGCATTGATGGTTATGTTGCACGTCTTTTCAAGTTTCGTTCAGAAGATATCACAACAACAACTTGATAATATTTATAAAAAGTTTATTTATTTAGGAAAACGTACAAAATTATCAACTGAACAGAAAATTATAAGACTTTCTTTCACTGATGTCATTTGTATTTATAGAACAAAAGATAATTCTTTTATTTTAACACAAAGCTATAGAGTTTATTTTGCCTAGAAACATGAGTAAAGTATGTTTTAATGATCAGGATTGTTATCCTTCTGCCCAGCAGTGAGGACACACAATGCTGTATAAAACACTTATTTTTGTTCACTACGTCCATTATTTTAAAGCATCCAATCTGTAGACTGAAGTCAGGTGTAAAAAAATAAATAGGTTAACGTCAAACACAACTGATAAAATCTTTAAACTGAAGAGCTCCCAAGAATAAAACATACATCTTCTTCAAAAATGAACAAATATTCTGACCTGAACAAGTAAAGGCATATTACCATCAGTGCCAATGCTTGTGGTAAAAGTACTTAGATGCACAAACTAAAGTTTAAATCTAAAAAAAAAAACACACCAGAAAATGTCAAAATTGTTAAAGGTAATATTTAAAAATGAATTTATAGAAGTCTGAGTCTCACTTTTGAAAGCGAAAAGCAGACCTTTGCTCTCCCAGATCAGTGAAATAAATGCTCCCTTGCTCTGTAACTCGGACTGACGTTATTTAACGTTGCTTCTCTGAGGAGCAACACTTGTTATTTCTGTCGCGGTTGTTGTCTCTTGGGTCCACTTGGTGTCCCGTCCGTCACACGCAGCCTGTCTCAAAAAGCTTGGCCAGCTCTTTACAGTCTGGGTCAATGAGGTCTGCAGGCTTTTCTCCACTTTCATTCTCGACTTCTGTGCTCGCCCCCATTGCCAAAAGATACCTGAGTGAGAACAAAGGAAAAGCACTCAGAGATTCATTGTGCAATGTTTCTAAATGTGTGACATTTGTCAAAACTAATTACTAGACATGCCTTTATCAACAAAAACACTTTAAATTGATTTGATAATGATCTAATCATTCCTCTGCACATATTCGGCAGTAAAGATGAGCTCACCAGTGACCTTAGTTTCTACTTTAAAATCCTTTCAAAACAACATCTGATGACAGAAAAAATGCTGAGACACTCTTAGCATTTTCTATTTTTTTTTAATTTTCTTTCAGGGTGCATACACAGGGTGTATAAGCAATAGGTGTTGTTTAATAAAACATAAACCGGCAGTAGTAAGCAGCAGTTTCACATAAATTCTTTAAATTCATCCATTTTAACCAGACTTCCAATATAAAAAAAATTCTGTTAATTCCTAATAATTACTTATATAATGCATTAAAGGTCTTAACCATGAAGCAACTCCATTATATTGTTTAAGAGCACAGACATGTTGTATTTTTGGAACCAAATGAGCATTTGGAATGTCTTGATACAAAAGTCCTACCACACTTTTCTTTTCAGGCTCGCTAACAGGAGGTCACAGTGTCCATCACAGAATAATATATCACCTTTTTAAAGCCTCCAGTGCCTAATTGAAATTAAACTTATTTTAAAAATGCAACTTTGAACACACAGCAGCAATATTGGAGCTGAATGAACAATATAAATCAACTCTTGAAAAGAATATAGAAAGTCTATTTTTATATTTTAGTCAGACAAATGTTCTAGTTGTATTATTTATAGGAGTGGGACTTAAAAACAGTGTTGCAGCCAGCCTGCTAGAGGATGCTTGTCATTTGTGGCATATGCTGTGTTTTGCAGCTTGATGACATTATATTTTTATTTGCAGAAAACCAAAATGTTCTAAGAAGCATGATCATTTAATATCAAATTCCAACTTCTTCCCACTGTTCTAAATATCTGGTCTGTGTGCAACTTTACCTGGCAATCTCAGGGTAACCATCACTGCAGGCCATGTGCAATGGCGTCCAGCCGTCCTCATCTCTTTGATGGACATCTGCGCCATATTTCACCAGTAGCTTCACCACCTCTAGGTTTCCGGTTAGTACGGCCTCGTGTAGAGCAGCCATTCCTGCACAGATAGCCAACATCAGTCCTCACTCTTCTACTGTGGACACTTGCAGGTAAAATGACCCGCAGTTGTGGGGGATGGGGGGTAATAGCTCACCTGAGTTAAAGATTGTATCCACGCGAACCTTCCTCGCTCTTATGAAGCGACCGATTTGCTCCAGGTCTCCTCGCCTGACGTTGTCCTTGAAGATGATGTCGTTGGGGAAGTGCACGGTTCTTTTCGGAGGTGCCACGGGTACGACAGGTGCGGGGTTTTCTTGCGTGCGTCGCGTTGAGCTGTGCCGTGAGTCTCTGCTGTATGTGGGGACGTACGTAGCTGCAGTTTTGTAGGAGGACGTGCAGTAGGATGGGGTGTAGTTTGTGGTGCTGAGCTGCGTTGGGGTGTACTTGGAGACCGAGGCATAYGTGGATGTGGGTGTGTAATGCGAGGGGCTGTAGTAGGACGACGTGAGCTGTGAACTTCGTGTGTACGTTGACACCGGTACATGGTAGTTGTACTTCATCCTGCAGCTGTGCCTCTTGCTGCTTTCAGCTCAAAAGTCGGGAAATGACAATCCGAGGGAGAAAACAATCCAAGGAAATACCAGTGTCCTTTTTGACTGTATCCTTTACGTTTCCAGCTGTAGCAGCTCCTGCAAGCCTTTCCCAGTTTGTTATTCTTTATTCTTTTATTTTTACCCTCTGTCTGTCCATTTCTTCTTTCAGATTCAAAGTTGCTTTTCACATAGCATGCCTGCTCTCACACAGAACTATGGTCTAATGGGGCAAACCGGACAGCATCCCTATATACCCTCTGTATGGTTATTTTGGGGTCTACTGCCCAATGACTTCAGCTTAGAAATGAGCGACCCCTTTCAGACTCCTCCCGCAGCGATCACATGTACACTGACACCGAACCCACTCTGAGACCATGAAAAAGTTGACGACCACAAAGTTCCCTTTGAGTCCTCACTAAATGTTCCCACAAAGACATCTAAACAGGTCTTGGTGGTAAACAGTGTTTGTTGCCCAAATTCTAAGGTTTCTATGTTTAACTATCACAAGGTGTCAGCTTTTATTGAATCATTTTCTTTAGATATTTTAAACAGACTCATACTGTAAGCCTAAAAATGCAAAAACACAACATGTTGTTTAGTTTGTTTACACCATGTCATAAAGGACCCTGTTGATGAACACACTCCATTTACACTTTTAAAGTAAAAATGAAGTCTTATATGTGCTTTCCCGTGCTCCCCTCCCCCATTTTCTCCACTAAATTTTTGGTTTTCCTTTCAATATTTCACTATTTGCACAACAAGCAGATGGTAAAATGTATCTTCTGCTGAGGTTTTATGGGACACAGCAGTCCCAAACAACTGAGTGGGCAACGATATGTAGCCTCGCCCCTTAAAGGCCTCTGAAAAATCACATGGCGGCTATAAACACAGCTATTTACAACTGTGAACCTTTGACATGCACTGTCAAAAAAGTAATAAAAAAATCAACAATTTTACCATAAATCAGTTTACGCTGTTGCTTGTTTACCTTGTAAAAAATCCTCATGGTCTCATTGACTTTATGTGCTTTAAAGTTGATTATTTTCATATAAATGTCTTCCAAAATAATGTTAACTTGAATAAAAGTGACCATRGATCATAATGATGTGTTTTTTTGCAATATTATTGAAAATGGTTACCTTTAGAAAGGTTTTAAAGACTTAAAGGCTTTAAAATGTTTGTAAGACAGCTGTGTTTTTTTATAGACACTGCCAGTGTAACACATGAAAAAGAGGTTTGTTTCTCAGCTGCATTGAAACACATCATCTCTCCAGGAATCTGTTGTTATTGCTTTAAATGCCTGTGATTCCATGAGTATGATTCATGAATCAAAAGCATCTGCTCAGCTCTCTTCCCCTTCGTATCTAAATGTGTGCTGGCATAGGTAAGCAGTTTAGTCTCCAAGACTGTGAAGGAAGAAATCCAAGATGCTGCACCTGATGTCACAATCTTATTTGTTGTTCAGAAGAAGATTAAATTATTTTTTTTTAAATTCTGTGATGTTTGGAGCTCTAAATGTCAGAGTCAATTGGTTATCATTGCCACACGTTAGGGCTCTCTAAACTGCAAGAAGAAGGCAAATGCCAAGACGAGTCCAAGTGAGTTGGTGTTTACCGACTCATGGAGGGATTGAGTTCTGGAAGCAGCTGTTTTACAGTTTCATGTTTTGCACTGCAGCGGAGCAACAATGTCGACCCTCCCTGCAGCTTCTCCTACGGTAATCTGCAGACATGTCCTCACCCTGAAGAAACAGGAACCTCTGCCTGAGGCAACAGTTTGTTTGTTGGATACCATCAGGGGGCGTCTCACACGTCACGGTCTGTWCCTATACATAGCGTCAAGGCAGTGCCCCCCCACACTCAATCATGTTGCCCTTTAGAGTCCATGGTGTGGTTTGTCAAACTGCAAAGAAACGTTTAAACCATTCAAGTTGCCAGAAACATGAATGAAGGACATTCCAGTGTCAGAAGCGTCACCTCCACAGAGTCTTACTGGATGCTCAAATGTCACTTTTCTCACTTTTTTAGCAAAAGTACAATTCAGTTTGCAGAGGTTTATAGTACATTTACTTCATTACAGTACTTAAGTAGTTTTTTTTGAGGATTTTTAATTTCACCAATTATTTTTTAAAATAGTTGCTTTTACTTTTATTTCGTTACATTTTAAAGCTAAAAATGACACTTTTACTTCTTTACTTTAAAATGTAACACCCAGTTACTCGTTACAAAATAAATATGTTTGAACTCATCATGAAAGAAGATGTTTCTGCACTCTAAAAAATGAAGCGTTGAATTTACTCAACAAAGTCATGTCAGCTGGCTTCACTAACTAAGCCTGGCTGAGTAAATTGAGCAAATAATATAAAATATTGCTCCATTTACTCAACCTGACTTAGTGGAACAGTTTGGTTCAGTAAATTCAACAGTTTATTTCTTAGAGTGTAAAAAATACAGTTTTATGGCTTTTATTTGAGTAGTTTTCTCATCACTCAGCAAAATTTATTTTTTACCAAAGTCATTTTCTGTTCATGCAATTTTACTTTTAACTTTTACTTTTCAAGTACTTTCTAKACCTCTGTCAGTTTGTAATGGGAAATACCTTGTGCATTATTATGTATCGTATTGTATAGTATTGTGTCATGTCATWTTGTGTTGAGTCATATTGTCTTCTAAACTAGCTGTTAAAATCACAGTACTTTGTTGTTCGTTGCATGCATTGACGTCATGTGACATTTGTACAAAATCCTATCTGAATTAATATCAGATTTTAACACAAAACAACCATTTGTTACTATCCAGTACATTGATATGCAAGTATCAATATTTTAACATTGATTTAAATATATTCAACGTAGTTCAGTCTAATCTTCATCATCTAAAAACCCACTAAATCAAATTATGTTTTTTCCTCCAGCTTTCCCTCAAAGATTTGTCAGTCAGTATCAATTCCAGTTGTTTTATTTTCACAGGTTTGTATTTAGAGACATCAGCCTGTCAGAGTCCAGCGTTCCATGGGTCATGATTTGAAATATTCAGCTATGCATTCTTGAACACACCACTGACCCGCATGATGGAAGTAAGAAGCAGGTTAGACCAGACATTAAAAATAACAGCTGCAAAGCATCCCGTCTGCGTGTGGCGTGTTGTGAATGCAGGTTAGTATCCCAAGAAATGCTGTTCTTTGAAAAGGTCAGTGTGACATAAACTGGTTATGTTTTCATTTGTGTAAATACAAGACAAGGTGACACCTCTGATCATAGCCATTATAGAGTGATGAAGACTGTGCATATATACAGTGGGGTGCAAAAGTTTGGGCAGCCTTGTTAATTTACCTGATTTACCTTTATATATCATTGCTTGGAYTAAAAAAGTTCAGTTAAATAAATCATATAGGGGACAAACACAGTGATATTTGAGAAGTGAAATGAAGTTTATATGATAAAGTGTGCAATAATTGGTTAAACAAAATTGGGCAAGTGCATAACTTTGGGCACAAAAAAAAACTTAACTCAGTATTTAGTAGATTCTACTTTTGCAGAAATAACAGCCTCCAAACACTTCCTATAGCTTCTAATGAGAGTCTRRATTGTGGCTGAAGGTATTTTAGACCATTCTTCTTTACAAAACATCTCTAGTTCATTCAGGTTTGATGGTTTCTGAGCATGGACAGCTCTCTTTAAGTGACACCACAGATTTTCAATAATATTCAGGTCTGGGGACTGAGATGGTCATTCCAGATCGTTGTACTTGTTCCTCTGCATGAAGGTCTTAGTAGATTTTGAGCAGTGTTTAGGGTCAATCTTGTTGGAAAATCCAGCCCCAGCTTCAGCAGCTTCAGCTATGTCACTGATTCCTGGACATTGGTCTCCAGAATCTGCTGATATTGATTGGAATCCATGCGTCCCTCAACTTTAACAACATTCCCAGTCCCTGTACTGGCCACACAGCCCCACAGCATGATGGAACCACCACCACATTTTACTGTAGGCAGCAGGTGTTTTGAGACTCCCATGCTGCCACTCTTCAAAGAAGCTGCAAAGAGGAGAAAAACTGACAATTTCCCCCCCTTAAATACCCTTTCTCATAATTGGAGTCACCTGTGTATGGAGGTCAAGGGTCAATGAAAACCATATAATTAGTCCTAAAAGTTTTGAAATCAATAAAATGACAACAGTGCCCAAAKTTATGAACCTGGTTAATTTTGTTTAACCAATTAGTGCACTTTCTGTAAATCTTTTAAACTTCATTTCACTTCTCATATATCACTGTGTTTATTGTGATATATTTTACTACTTTTTAATCCAAACAATCAATGATTTATAAAGGTAAATCAGGAAAATTAACAAGGCTGCACAAACCTTCGCACCCCACTGTACATGTGCTTGTGTTAAAGTAATTCCCTGCGAATCATCACACACCATCATTTAACTGAACATATCACCAGGAGAAATCCATGATACCTCAGACTAAATATTGGTTTATTTAAAAAAAAAAACACATAAACTTTCAGAGCAGGTTATTGTAGCCTCTCACTTTATATTTCCAGAGATGGAACAACCTCTTGTGCATCATGCGCCGTGTCCTCGCTTTCCTCACTAAACGGCAAAGGATTTCTGCCTCCCGATTTAGATTCCAACTCCTTTTTTCTACCCACTACGCGTGCCGTAACCGGATACCTAAAGACCCCGGTGCCTCCCGCAGGACATTTCAGAGTCAGACACAGACTAACCCCTGCCTCCAGAGGTCCAGGTGTGATCAAATGAGATACATGAGACTGCATGTGAATTTCAGAGAAAGGATTGGCACAGGGTAACACACATGACGCCCAACTCTCTCTGCTCTGCCTCCCCTTTCTTTAACACGTAAACTTTGGTTTGTGCGTTTCACGTAACGTACAATTTTTAACGCTGGACTGGGCTGGATTTGCATTCATCACTTTACATATTTATGTGTTCCTTCAGTTTGCACTACTGTTTGTGTTTGCAGTCATTAATATTAACCCACTGCATATTTACATGCCAAAATCACGGATTTTAAACATAAACTGTGTACATACTGCAAATACATTATACAATACATTGCTGAGAATATGCACACACTTAATCCTGTTACATTTCTACCAATTAGTTCAGTAACATATATGCTTTATATTTACTAAGATGCAATTTCACCTCTAGTTTGAAGAAAAAAAATGCAGGTGAAGTCAGTGAAAGTTTGGATGTACGGACTC